TTGTGATTCAGCTGAGATCAGATGCATTGCAGGAATCTTTCCACCGCAAGCATAATTTTACAGAATTTCCAAGCATTTTTATAGTGTGCAGACAAAGGAAAACAGTTTCAAAATTCCCACCCGCCCTCTGCCGGCCGGCTCCATGCTGATTGGCTGGCCGCGGAACAGCTGGGAGGAGGCTGGGCGGCCCGCCCCTGCTCCGGACCAATCAGCGTTTCTTCGCCTCTAGAGGGCCAATGAGCGCCCTCCGCTCGCCTCGCAAGATGGACAAATCAGGAGAGAGGAGGCGGTGCGGCCTCGGACAAAGGAGGGGGGAAATGATGGGATTAGGAGTTGCCAGCAAGCCTTTGTCTCAGGCCGGCAAGGTGTGATCCTAGCAAACAAAAGCTTTCCTGTCCTTGATGAGCTTTGGAGGGGGATATGAATGGCTTTTTCGACATCGGACCTCAGGGGGGATCAACGACGTCTTGATGATTTAATCAATCTTTTCTTCCTGAGTTTCTGTTGACCCCCTCCCCTCGCTGGTCTGCTCCGAGGGCCAGGGTTGGGGATTAACAGTATTGTCCATGCTGGTGAATTAATCAAGGGTGATTGAGGGAGAGGCTGGAGCCCTCCCTCAGGCAGTTCCTGGTCACAGCAGTTTTTGTGGGGCAAGGGTCAAGGGGACGAGGGTACAGAGGAAATTCATAAGGTTACATACATATATCAAAATCATAGGCAATAGGCATCACTGATACAGAGTTAGAGCAGCAGAGGAACCCCCATCCCACCCCATAAAGTTTATTTCAATATTTGATCTTTATTAAGGTCCAAACTGGAAATCCCATGCTCTTAGGAAGGGCGTGTGGAAGCAGAGGTTGCTAGCAGTTCAAATCAAGCATTGATAGAAAGTTCATGGCCAGGGTTGTGGCAAACAGTCCAGTCCACTCAGCAGAGAGTCATGGATTCAGGCTGGAATCAGCAGATGGGCGCTGAGTTGATCAATAACAAAATCCATCGCTCAGCCCTTGGGGAACTACAACTCTCACAAAAGGGCAGAAGTCCCAAGATCCAGCCATTTCCCAAAAAGCCTCGTGGGGTCCTTGTTGTTGTCAGTGCCTTGGCAATGTGGCCAAGACTTAACCCTTGTTGTGTAGTCTGGTGACCTTGCCCTTTGCAGAACTATAAGTTCTTATCCCTTAATTCTGAGGGGGGGGTGCCTGACATCAATACAAGTCCCCAGCGAATAGGTCCAGTTTCTCTGGTGCTGCTGTTCAGTGAGTCCAAAAGCATTATTATTATTATTATTATTATTATTATTATTTATTTATTTATATTCCACCCTTCTCACCCCAAAGGGGTGACTAGGACACGGAACAATGGCTTCAAACTACAAGAAAGGAGATTCTATCTGAACATTAGGAAGAACTTCTGACTGTGAGAGCCATTCAACAGTAGAACTCTCTGCCCCGGAGTGTGGTGAAGGTTCCTTCTTTGGAAGCTTTTAAACAGAGGCTGGATGGCCATCTGTCGGGGGTGCTTTGAATGCAATATTCCTGCTTCTTGGCAGGGGGTTGGACTAGATGGCCCATGAGGACTCTTCCAACTCTTCCAACTCTATGATTCTATGATTCTGAGAGCCCTTCCACACAACCATATAACCCAGAATATCAAGGCAGATGATCCACAATATCTGCTTTGAACTGGGTATTCTGAGGCCCCTTCCACTCAGCTGTATAAAATCCACATTGAACTGGATTATATGGCAATGTGGACTCAGATAACCCAGTTCAAAGCAGATATTGTGGATTATCTGCCTTGATATTCTGAGTTACGTGGCCGTGTGGAAGAGCCCCAAATTCAAATTAGATAATATGGGATCCGAACCTGGGATGCAAGACAGTTTAGATCAGGGGTCCTCAAACTATGGCCTGGGGGCTGGATAAGGCCCTCCAAGGTCATTTACCCGCCCCTCGCTCAGGGTCAACTTAAGTCTGAAATGACTTGAAAGCACACAACAACAACAACAATCCCATCTCATCAGCCAAAAGCAGGTCCACACTTCCCACTGAAATACTAATAAGTTTATATTTGTATTGTCGAAGGCTTTCATGACCGGAATCACTGGGTTGTTGTAGGTTTTTTCGGGCTATATGGCCATGGTCTAGAAGCATTTCTCCTGACGGTTCGCCTGCATCTATGGCAAGCATCCTCAGAGGTAGTGAGGTCTGTTGGAACTAGGAAAAGGTTTTATATATCTGTGGAATGACCAGGGTGGGACAAAGGACTCTTGTCTGCTGGAGCTAGGTGTGAATGTTTCAACTGACCACCTTGATTAGCATATTATGGCCTGACAGAGCCTGGAGCAAACTCTTTTGTTGAGAGGTGATTAGATGTCCCCGCCTGCTTCCTCTCTGTTGTTTTGCTGTTGCAATTTTAGAGTTTTTTAATACTGGTAGCCAGATTTTGTTCATTTTCATGGTTTCCTCCTTTCTGTTGAAATTGTCCACATGCTTGTGTATTTCAAAGGCTTCTCTGTGTAGTCTGACATGGTGGTTGTGAGAGTGGTCCAGCATTTCTGTGTTCTCAAATAAAATGCTGTGTCCAGGTTGGTTCATCAGGTGCTCTGCTATGGCTGATCTTCTCTGGTTGAAGTAGTCTGCAGTACCTTTCATGTTCCTTGATTCATGTTTGGGCAATGCTGCGTTTGGACCACCAAGGACCACCAAAGGACCACCAAATGCAGTATTGCTCAAACACGAATCAAGGAAAATGCACTGCAGACTACTTCAATCAGAGAAATCAGCCATAACAGAGCACCTGATGAACCAACCTGGACACAGCATTTTATTCGAGAACACAGAAATGCTGGACCACTCTCACAACCACCATGTCAGAGTACACAGAGAAGCCATTGAAATCCACATGTGGACAATTTCAACAGAAAGGAAGAAACCATGAAAATGAACAAAATCTGGCTACCAGTATTAAAAAAACTCTAAAATTAGAACAGCACAACAACAGAAAGGAAACAAACAAGGACATCTAATCACCTCTCAACAAAAGATTGCTCCAGGCACTGTCAGGCCATCAAATGCTAATCAAGGTGATTAGTTTAAACATTCACACCTAGCTCCAGCAGACAAGAGTCCTTTGTCCCACCCTGGTCATTCCACAGATATAAAAAACACTTTTTCCTAGTTCCAACAGACCTCACTAAGATTGTGGAAACTATTTATTTATTTATTTATTTATTTTGGTTTCTTCTACCCCGTCCTTCTCACCCCGAAGGGGACTCAGGGCGGCTTACAAAAGCAAAGGCACAATTCGATGCCCGTATCACATAACAGTCGTAAAACAAAATAGCATCAATTCACAGTTAAACAACAATTCCTGCATTACAACCATAAAACCAATAAAATCAATAAAAACCAATACAAACCCAATTCCTCCTCAAAAACGGTCAGCGTTCGCTATCTCATAGTTCCAATTTCAATTCCACATTGTCCGTCCTGTCAGTCTTACTCATCTGATTGTCTTATCTAGTTGTCAGAATGCCCAAAGGTCCCACAACCACGTCTTTACCTTCCTCCTGAAGGAGAGGAGGGATGATGATGCCCTAATTTCCCCCGGAAGTGAGTTCCACAGGTGAGGGGCCACCACTGAGAAAGCCCTGCTCCTCGTCCCCACCAGCCTCACTTGTGACAGCAGTGGGGTCGAGAGCAGGGCCTCCCCAGATGATCTCAAACTCCGGGGTGGGACGTAGAGGGAGATACGTTCGGACAGATACACTGGACCGGGAACCGTTAAGGGTTTTGTAGGTCAAAACCAGCACCTTGAATTGTGCTCGGAACTGAACCGGCAGCCAGTGGAGCTGACACAGCGGGGGGGGTGTGCTCCCTGTATGTCGCTCCAGTGAGCAATCTGGCTGCCGCTCGCTGGACCAGTTGAAGTTTCCGAACAGTCTTCAAGGGCAACCCCACGTAGAGTGCATTGCAGTAGTCTATTCGGGATGTAACAAGAGCATGGACCACTGTGGCCAGATCAGACTATGCTTGCTATAGATGCAGGCGAAACGTCAGGAGAGAATGCCTCTAGACCATAGCCATATAGCACGAAAAAACCTACAACAACCCAAGTTTATATTTATTTAAATTGATCTTCATTTTATTATTGTATTCTTTTTAAGTGTTTTTTTTTCCACTACAAATGAGATATGTCAGTGTGCACAGGAATTCATTCAAGCTTTTTTCAAATTATAATCCGGCCCTCCAAAAGTTTGAGGGACTGTGGCCTGGCCTTCTGCTTAAAAAGTTTGTGGATCTCTGGTTTAGATCCAGCCGTAGGATGGAGTTGAGAGCAGTTGGGAGTCCAATTCTGAGTAAGTCATATTCTATAGGGTTGTTGTAGGTTTTTCCGGGCTATATGGCCGTGTTCTGGAGGCATTTTCTCCTGACGTTTCGCCTGCATCTATGGCAAGCATCCTCAGAGGTAGTGAGGTCTGTTGGAACTAGGAAAAATGGGTTTATATATCTGTGGAATTACCAGGGTGAGACAAAGGACTTTTATTTGCTGGGGCTAGCTGTGAATGTTTCAGCTGATCACCTTGATTAGCATTCAATGGCTTGGAAGGGCCTGGGGGGAATCTTTTGTTGAGAGTGATGTGCCTGATTGTTTATTCTCTGTTGTTTTGCTGCTGTAATTTTTGAGTTTTTTTTAATACTGGTAGCCAGATTTTGTTCATTTTCATGGTTTCTTCCTTTCTGTTGAAATTGTCCACATGCTTGTGGATTTCAATGGCTTCTCTGTGTAGTCTGACATGGTGGTTGTGAGAGTAGTCCAACATTTCTGTGTTCTCAAATAATATGCTGTGTCCAGGTGAGTATATTCTATACTCACAACCTCTACAATTAAGTTGGACTCTTACAATTGAGTGAGTTTATGGCGACAGCTAGGGAGGAGCATGCGCAGAGTAACCGGCTGGCACCATTGGTCCCGGAAAGCTGCGAGTTGAGCGGCGACTCCGGTCTGCGCATGTGCAGAGGAAGCCTGGCGCTGCCGCCAAGATGTCGGCGCAGGGTGACTGCGAGTTCCTGGTGAAGCGAGCGCGGGAGCTGGTCCAGGTGGACCTGTGGGCGGCCAAGGCCTGGCTCATCACCGCCCGGAGCCTCTACCCGGCCGACTTCAACATCCAGGTCGGTGGGGAGGCTCAGGCCTAGGCCTCAGCGCCTCCCTCCTCTCGCGCTCCGTTCATTGTGAGGGAAGCTTCGTCTCTGAGCCTGGCTTCCCTTTGGGGACAAGGCCCCATTGCTTCCTCCCAGGGAGAGGGAGGGAGGGAGAGAAGGGAGGGCGAGCCAAGCAGCTCGCTGTGTCTGAAGGAAGCAACGTAGGGAAACCTGGAATGATGCCTGTTGCTAAGCAACAGAGCAGGGCCCTCCCTTAGAATCGTAGAATCAAAGAGTTGGAAGAGACCTCATGGGCCATCCAGTCCAACCCCCTGCCAAGAAGCAGGAATATTGCATTCAAATCACCCCCGACAGATGGCCATCCAGCCTCTGCTTAAAAGCTTCCAAAGAAGGAGCCTCCACCACACTCCGGGGCAGAGAGTTCCACTGCTGAACGGCTCTCACAGTCAGGAGGTTCTTCCTCATGTTCAGATTCTTACCTCTGAATGGGAGGTTTGTTCTCTTTTGGCAAACCGGCCCTGTCTGTATATACAATTTGTAGGGAACTGAAACAAATGTTGCCCCTTAAAAATAATAATAATAATAATACACTTTATTTGTAACCCGCCACCATCTTCCCAAAGGGGACTCGGGGCGGCTAACATGAGGCCAAGCCCAAAATAATACAACATATTTATTTATTTACTAGCCGTCCCATGCCACGCGTTGCTGTGGCCCACATGGGGGTTCTGTGTGGGAGGTTTGGCCCTATTCTATCCTTGGCGGGGTTCAGAATGCTCTGTGATTGTAGGTTAAGTATAAATCCCAGCAACTACAACTCCAAATGTCAAGATTCTATTTCCCCCAAACTCCACCAGTGTTCACATTTGGGCATATTGAGTATTCGTGTAGTTTGGTCCAGATCCATCATTGTTTGAGTCCACAGTGCTCTCTGGATGTAGGTGAACTACAACTCCAAAACCAAAGGACACTGCCCACCAAACCCTTCCAGTATTTTCTGTTGGTCAGGAGAGAACTGCGTGTGCCAAGTTCCATCACTGGTGGGGTTTCAGAATGCTCTTTGATTGTAGTGAACTATAAATCCCAGCAACTACAACTCCCAAATGACAAAATCATAATTTTTTGAGTGATGGTCCCTCCTTGTGTAGTGAGACGTTTTGTTGCCAAATTTGGTGTGATTTCGTTCATTGGTTCTTTTGTTTTTAAGGTACTCATTATGCACAGAGCATTTTTATATATATAGATTTATTTATTGTGTCAGGGGCAGACCAAACAGTTGCATTGCATTTTTTAACAAACAAACAAACAAAACACAAATTTGCAAGCTTGGTAGTTGATTTTTTTTTTGTCGTGTCAGGAGCGACTTGAGAAACTGCAGGTTGCTTCTGGTGTGAGAGAATTAGCTGTCTGCAAGAACGTTGCCCAGGGGACGCCAGGATGATTTGATGTTTTTATCATCCTTGTGGGAGGCTTCTCTCATGTCCCTGTATGAGGAGCTGGAGCTGATAGAGGGAGCTCATCCACCTCTCCCCAGATTTGAACCTGCGACCTGTCGGTCTTCAGTCCTGCTGGCACAGGTGTTTAACCCACTGCGCTACCGGGGGCAGTTGATTAAATGTCCTTTGACCAGTAACTGGCCACTTGGAGTGCCTCTGGTGTTGCCGCAAGAAGGTCCTCCATTGTGCATGTGGCAGGGCTCAGGTTGCATTGCAGCAGGTGGTCAGTGGTTTGCTCTTCTCCACACTCGCATGTCGTGGATTCCACTTTGTAGCCCCATTTCTTGAAGTTGGCTCTGCATCTCGTGGTGCCAGAGCGCAGTCTGTTCAGTGCCTTCCAAGTCGCCCAGTCTTCTGTGTGCCCAGGGGGGAGTCTCTCATTTGGTATCAGCCATTGATTGAGGTGCTGGGTTTGGGCCTGCCACTTTTGGACTCTCGCTTGCTGAGGTGTTCCAGCGAGTGTCTCTGTAGATCTAAGAAAACTATGTCTTGATTTAAGTCGTTGACGTGCTGGCTGATACCCAAACAGGGGATGAGCTGGAGATGTCTCTGCCTTGGTCCTTTCACTATTGGCTGCTACTTCCCGGCGGATGTCAGGTGGTGTAATACCGGCTAAGCAGTATAATTTCTCCAACGGTGTGGGGCGCAGTCATTGTCCTAAAAGCAGTCTGTCAAGTCCATTAAATCTGTTGCTTTGCCAGCAGGTCAGCCCAGTCTGCAAAGACCTGATCCCGTAGCCAGGATTTCACTTGTTTCCGAAAGGTCAGGAGGGATGGAGCAGATCTAATTTCACATGGGAGGGAGTTCCACAGCCGAGGGACCACCACAGAAAAGACCTTGTCCCCTTTCCCCACCAAATGCTATTGTGATGATAGGGCAGAGGGACAACGAGTAGGGCCTCCCTGGATGATCTTAGGGTCCTAGGTGGATCGTAGCGGGAGATACATTTGGACAAGTAAACTGGGCCAGAACTATTCAGGGCTTTATAGGCCAAATCCAGCACTTTGAATTGTGCCTGGAAGTTAATAGGCAAGGAAGAGGGGTTTTTGCCAGTTCTTTTCTCAGGCCCCTTCCACACAGCTGAATAAAATCCCACATTATCTGCTTTGAACTGCGATATATGGCAGTGTGGACTTGGATAAGCCAGGGTGCTTCTAGACAGCACCAAATCACGGGTTTTCCATTAGAGAAAAAAAAACACCCTAGGATATGAGAGCAGGTTCACACACAGACCTGTTGATTCTGGGATTTCTGCCTGTGGTGTCCAGACTTGCTTCTTTGTTGCAGGATTTCAACACTCACAAGATAGCCGTTGCGGGATATCCACCAGAAATTTTGACTTAAAAGAAACAACTTTACATGCACAGATGCAAATATGCGCATTGTTTGTATGAGTTTTGTTCCTGGGTCATACATATCTGTTCCTCATTGCTTTTATCTTGAAAAGATGGCAACACCTCTTCAGCCCTGCTGCCTTACAACTCCTGGGCAGAGCGCCTCCATGGCCACACAGCCTCAAGTTGAGAGTACTTCAATGGCCTAGCAGCCCGGCAATAGCAACACCTATTGAATGACTCCTTGTGTCTTAATTGTATTACATCAAGACCAGAATGAAGTCCAAAGAAAGTAGTGCACAGATCTGGATCAGTCTAATATAAAATTAACTTCTCTGCGTTTAGTAGTTGCATTGTTCTTGGTTTTCCATTGTGATGAAAGTAGATTTTTTTTTTAGAAATCCATTTTGAGAATCCTTATCTAGTTTTTATATGACTTGCATTCTTCTCTCTTTTTTTCCAGTATGAAATGTACTCTATTGAGAGAAATGCAGAACGAACAGCATCGGCAGGCAGATTGCTCTATGACATGTAAATACATTTGTATTTTCCCAAAAAGGACTGGGTGTTTTTAGTTGATGCATTTAAAACAGTGTTATTTTATGACAGAATGAGAAAGATGAACAGCCAGTATCTCATGTGATAAGTGTCAAAGTCATAAAATTATGGTTTGACAAAAGTAGACAGAGATTTTTTTTCTTTAGTAGAACTCATGGTTGCCTGGTAACATTAAATGGACTCACGATGGACCAAAGTTGAGCTGTTTGTCCTGCCCATAACTGTTACATTTGATTTGCTTTCATAGAATGTAGTAATGGATTTCAAATGAGAGTAGGCAAAATAAGTGGAACAGGTCTATTACAAATTGCACCTGTGGTAGTTAAAAAAAATATTAAATTGCAAAAACTTTGTTTTTGCGGGACATACTGTGGCACATTTTGCTATAGTTTTTTAATGAATCCCTCAACCAATTCAACATAGTTTGTGTTAGCCACAAGAATGAAGTTTCTGGAGTGTAATACCTGCTTTCACAGAATTAAACAAGAATAACACTTTCAAACCAGTAACAGATTTTTTTTAAAAAAAATTGTTACATAGTGTAATGGTTCTCTGACTGATATAAAACTGTCTTAACCTATTTTAAACCAGAAAACCTGACATAAAGTAAGACATGGATGTCTCAAACTGTTGTTTTAGAGCAGGGGTCCAGGTCACAGTCCCTCAAACTGCAGGAGGGCCAGATTATAATTTGAAAAAACATGAATGAATTCCTATGCACACTGCACAAATCTTATTTGTAGTGCAAAAAGACTTAAAAACAATACAATAATTAACATGATGAACAATTTTACCAAATATAAATTTAATAGTATTTCAATGGGAAGTGTCGGCCTACTTTTGACTGATTATATAGGATTGTTGTTGTTGTTGTGTGCTTTCAAGTAATTTCAGACTTTGGTTGACCCTGAGCAAGGGCAGGGTAAATGACCTTGGAGGGCCGTATTTGGCCTTAGTTTGAGGACCCCTGTTTTAGAGCATTGGTTCTCAGCCTGTGGGTCCCTAGATGTTTTGGCTTTAACTTCCAGAAATCCTAACAGCTGGTAAACTGGCTGGGAATTCTGGGAGTTGTAGGCAAAAATACCTGGGAACCCACAAGTTGAGAACCACTATTTTACAGAATCTTTATGCTGCATTAGAAAATGTTCAAATGTTCAGTTAAAATAACTGAATCTATACTATTTTTATTGTTATAATAAAGAGACCTCAGGTGGCTAGCTCCTTCAATTCTACAATTCCAGCATTGTCAGTTTATGCTACTTAAGCCACTAACCTACAGTTTTTGAACAATAATTTTAAAAAACCCAAACAAACAGTTGATCTCATTGTATGAGCAAACAAACAAAACATTTACATTTAATACTGTATTTCTTTGATTTTAAGACCCATTTCCCCCCATATAACATTGCTAAAAACAGAGCACATTTTAGAACCCTTCCACACAGCCTATATTCCAGAATATCAAGGCAGAAAATCCCACAATGTTTGCTTTGAACTAGGTTATCTGAGTCCATACTCAGATAATGTGGGATTTTCTGCCTTGATATTCTGGGATATAGGGCTGTGTGGAAGGGCCCTTAGAATTGCAGGTGCTTAGATAGAAAGAATAGGGGGAGGGAGGGGTGGTACTGCTGTGGTGCTGACATTATTGGGAGTCTTACAATCCAAGACATCCTAGAATTGATGGAAATGGTAGTATCTTCATGATTGACTGATTTTCAAATATACATTATTGAAATTCTCCCCTCTCCCCTTTATTTCAGGTTTGTAAACTTTCCAGATCAACCAGTGGTATGGCGAGAAATTAGTGTTATTACTTCAGCATTAAGGAACGATTCACAGGATAAACAAACTCAGTTTTTAAGAGGTATACATCTCTACTGTTGCACTGTTTGCAGACCAGTTACGTATTCTGAAGTTTTATACTTCACGTGGCGGTTATTGATATTTAATTGTGAAGATACAAAAAGATACATCTGAACGAATCGGAAAAAAATATGCTGAGGATGTACATTCTTTTGCTGTGCAATTTTCCAAACTGAAATGATTTGATACATTTTGCTAGTTTTGATCTGTGCATCATATTCTACTCCTAGCCAACAATGTGCTGCCATCTATAATTCATTTTTCATTTTGGAGTGGCGGTGATACCTTTTGGAAACAAGCAATTGTATCTGATGTATAGTATCTGATTGTATCTGATGTAGCTTTCCTAGCTTGTCCAGCCCAGCAAATTACTGTTCTCTAGATAATCTTTTCTAGATGGTTTTCTCTAGATCGGTGGTTCTCAACCTGGGGTCCCCAGATGTTTTTGGCCTACAACTCCCAGAAATCCTAGCTAGTTTACCAGCTGTTAGGATTTCTGGGAGTTGTAGGCCAGAAACATCTGGGGACCCCAGGTTGAGAACCACTGCTCTAGATAATCTACTGTGCAATCTCTTACATTCAGGGTTGGGAATCATGTGCCCCTTCAGATGTTGTTGGATTGTTGTTGCAGCTCTCATGAACCCAAGCCAGCATAGCCAATGGTGAGAGAGCACAATTCTCAACCCTGGTCTACCATACTTTTTGTGGGTGCCTGTTTTTCTCTACATACGTTGTCCACTGAAACTTGTCACCTGCTCCTTTCTCAGTCACATCCCACCTTTGGAAATACTGCTTGGCTCATTGTCCTCTTTTGCCCCACAGGTCTATTTGAGACCCTTCCAGGTAGAGTTCAGTGTGAAATGTTGCTGAAAGCCACTGAGCAGTGTTTCAATACACTAGAACGGGCAGAAATGTTGCTTCTTCTATTGCGACGTTTCCCTGAGACTGTTGTTCAACATGGGGTAAGAGAATGAAGATATTTATCTTGTTGCAAATACTCATTTGTGCCATAAAATGTTCAAAATAAGGGGGTGTAGAAAGATATCAATCTTGAAAATAGAAATAAAATATGTTATTTGGAGGATTGCATGATCTTCAAAGTATTCTATACTAGAATTAATGAGAACTGGGAACTAGTTGGTGAATGTAGAAGAGGGAATCCTGACACTGCATTGATATGTCATATTTTCCTGCTCCTGTATCCTGTCTTTACTTCATATTATTTAAAAATGATTATATCAAATTTGCTGATATGTACATGTAGATAATTGACTGTTTTTCAAAAGTTGTTCTCCAAAATGCTGTGGCACATTATAATATAGCTGTAGACAGCAAACTGGTGAAGAAGGAAGTCATAAATTTTATTCAGTGTGTTGTAAACATTACTGAAACATCCTTAATCATTAATTAACAGAATTCAATGTGTTTTGAAGGTGGGACTTGGAGAAACATTATTAGAAGCAGAAAGTATTGAAGACCAAGAATCACCTGTCAATTGCTTTAGAAAACTATTTGGTAAGGATGTATTTTATTTTTTATTATTTTATCATTTTGCTAAAGAACAAAATGGCAGATTAAAAGGATGTTTTAATTTATTGAAGATTGGTGGCATTATCAGATTCTGTTCACTGACCTTCACATAAAAATAATGGGCTCTTTCATTTTTATGACGGCACATACACCTTCAATGTAGTCCAAAGTCGCTTTTTGACTTGTATAGCTGCGGTTGACTCTGCTTGGCTCGTGCTGAAATTTATGCCCTTAGGCATAAATAGTATGTAATAGAAAAGTAGTATGTAATAGAAAAGTGGAATTGTGATTCATGGAAGTTGGCTGAACCCAGCATTCTTCTGACAGCACTTTTATATTTTTATAGCCAGTGGCTATCTCTTTTCGACTGTTAAAAATGCCACATGCTGACAAAGCTGTAAATTAACTGGGACTTGCTCCAGTTTTAAAGGTAATGTTAATTGTATTTTTATTTATTGTATCTTACCTGTATTCTATCTTGTATTCATGACACAAATATTTAATTGTGTTTATATATGCGTGTCTGTGTATTTGCCTTGTTTCTGAATGTATTGGGTTGTGTCATGTTTTTGTTAGCCACCTTGAGTACTATGGGGAAAAAGGTGGGATAGAAATATAGTTGTTAATTATTATTATTATCATTATACTACTTTTTTGCAGATGGTTTCTTGTATTTCAGTGGAAGAGGCAGTGAGTGCTCAACATATTGAAGTGTATGCTTCAATATGTGGGATTACCTGAACCTCTGTTGAATATAATAAATAGCTCCCTTGAGCAAGGAGTTTTTCCAGAGGGTTTAAAAGAGGCGATGGTTTCTCTGCTGCTGAAGAAACCAGACTTAGATCGTTCGGTTTCCTCTAGCTACCACCCAGTCTCGAACCTTCCGTTTCTGGGCAAGGTGGTTGAAAGGGCAGCAGCAGAACAGTTGCAGCAGTTCCTAAATGACACAGCTGGACTTGATCCTTTCCAGTCCGGCTTCCGTAGGGGGCACGGGATGGAGACTGTGCTAGTTGCCATCACAGATCAGCTTCACTGCCAGATGGATCAAGGCGGATCAGCGCTGCTTGTGTTATTGGACCACACAGCAGCACTTGATACGGTCGATCACAATCTATTGACCCACCGCCTAGCCATGACTGGGGTTAGGGGGATACACCTTAAATGGGTGTCCTCCTTCCTCCAGAATTGGGGACAGCATGTGGTGAGGGGAGGGATGGTTTCTGAGAGATCTCCGCGAGCTTGCGGGGTCCCGCAGGGAGCTATTCTCTCTCCTCTATTATTTAACATCTATATGCGACTGCTTGCCCGACTGGTGCGGAGCTTTGGGCTTGAGTGCCACCAGTACGCTGATGACACTCAGCTCATTCTGAGGATGGAGGGCCGGCCAGACTCTGTACCCAAAAATTTCCATCAGTGCCTTGAGGCCGTTACTGGATGGTTACATGCCAGCAGGTTGAGGGTGAACCCAGTGAAGACGGAGATCCTTTGGCTGGGCCGTCTGGGTGGGAGGGAGATCCAGCTGCCTACTCTGGATGGCGAGACACTACGTCCGTCACCTTCTGTAAAAAGCCTTGGTGTCTTATTGGACCCTCTGCTCACAATGGAGGCCCAGGTCTCTGCTGTGAACAGATCTGCGTTTTTCCACCTACGTCAGGCTAGGTGACTGGCTCCCTTCCTATCTAGGAACGACCTGGCTACGGTGATCCAGGCAACGGTCATCTCGAGGCTTGACTACTGTAACGCCTCTACATTGGCCTTCCTTTGTCAGTGATCCGGAAACTGAAGCTGGTGCAAAATGCGGCGGCTCGTCTTCTCGCCGGGGGGCCGGCGAGGTATTGTATCACCCCAATTCTACAACAGCTGCACTGGCTTCCGATTGAGTACCGGATTACTTTCAAGGTGCTGGTACTAACCTTTAAAGCCTTATGGTCTGGGGCCGGCGTACCTGAGGGCCCGCTTATCCCCCTACCAGCCCCAGAGATTAGTTCGGTCCGAAGACCAAAATTTGCTTGAAGTCCCCAACATCTGGACTTATCATCTGTCCTCAACTAGGCAGAGAGCCTTCTCGATTGTAGCCCCTTATTTATGGAATGCCTTGCCAGTTGAAACCCGAACCATCCGAGAGCTACTCGCTTTCGGAAAGCCTGTAAAACCTTTCTTTTCTGACAAGCTTTCGATGGGTGAATAACTCGGGACTATGTCTGTTCTCGTTTTTATTGTATTTTAAAGTTGGTTGTATTGTTTTAATCTACTGCTGTAAACCGCTCCGAGCCAAATTGGGAGTGGCGGTATACAAGTCAAATAAATAAATAAAATGCTGAAGGGATTCATTTAGGTGAATTCATTGTAGCTGAATTAATTTTTTAAATAAAAATTTCAAATATTTTGATAAAAAGTGAAGTATGTATGTATGTGTACATACTTGTACATGTATAAGCGTTTGACTTTTTTTTTGTTAAGGGAGTCATGTTTTAAGTGGCATTTCAAAGCAGCTTGTCACTTAGTATTATGTTTGCTTAGACCTGTAAAGATTGCCTTGTTAAAGATGGTATGTTCTTAGGATAACAAGAAAATCTAATTTTAAGTTTTTAAATCTATTTTCTTTAGTCTGTGATGTCCTTCCCTTGATAATTAACAACCCTGATGTGCGGCTCCCTGCCAACCTGTTGTACAAATATCTGAATAAAGCTGCAGAATTTTACATTAATTATGTGACGAGATCTGCACAGGGAGAAAGCCAATATCAAGGTAAAACTACCAAAGTCAATTATACTAATGAAATTTATAAAGGAATTCAAGAGGAGTTCGTGTATTTCAAAATTCAGGGATCTAAAAGATAAAGTTTTCCATTTTTATATTACATGTACTTTAGGGACTTTCTAGTACAGTACAGGTACTGTGTGTTGAGTTAGAAGTCAGCATAGAGAACCTCTGAGAAGCCATTCCATTTATAAGAGACAGGGAAAAAGGTTGGACTTATTAGAAGGAACACAGGGATCTGAAATTGCTTGTTCATTTGTTCAGTTGTTTCCAACTATTTGTGACTTCATGGACCAGCCCATGCCAGAGCTCCCTGTCGGTCATCACCACCCCCAGCTCCTTCAAGGTCAATCCAGTCACTTCAAGGATATCATCCATCCATCTTGCCCTTGGTCGGCCCCTCTTCCTTTTTCCTTCCATTTTCCCCAGCATAATTGTCTTCTCTAAGTTTCCTTTCTTCTCATGATGTGGCCAAAGTACTTCATCTTGGCCTGTACTATTCCTCCCTCCAATGAGCAGTCAGGCTTTATTTCTTGAAGTATGGAATGATTGGATCTTCTCGCAGTCCAAGGCACTCTCAGCACTTTCCTCCAACACCACAGTTCAAAAGCATCTATCTTCCTTCGCTTAGCCTTCCCTAAAGTCCAGCTCTCACATCTGTAGGTGACTATGGGGAATACCATTGCTTTAACTATGCGGATATTTGTTGCCAGTGTGATGTCTCCACTCTTCAATATTTTATGGAGATTGGTCATTGCTCTTCTCCCAAGAAGTAAGCGTCTCCTTATTTCCAGGCTGCAGTCTGAGCCTGCAGTAATCTTTGCACCTAGAAATATAAAGTCTGTCACTGCCTCCACATTTTCTCCCTCTATTTCCCAGTTGTCAGTCATTCTTGTTGCCATAATCTTGGTTTTTTTATGTTACCTGCAACCCAGCTTTTGCGCTTTCTTCTTTCACCTTGATTAGAAGGCTCCTCAGCTCCTCCTCGCTTTCGGCCATCAAAGTGGTGTCATCTGCATATCTAAGGTTAGAACTAGGCAAATTAGGGTTGGTAGAATTAAGCAGAACTAAGATGTGTAATAATCTGAGTAGAAAGTGGAGAGATAGGGCCAGGAAGATCATTAAAAGTAAGAATAAGAAGCTTATGAAGATTCCAGGGTATGTGACTGCATCTGTCCTGATATTTGGGTTATTATAATTGATGTTGATACATCTGAGTGCAAGTTAGGACAATTGAAGTGCAAGTTAGGACAATTTTTAATCGCAGGTACTCTGTGATGCTTTGGTCACCATTTTCAGCAATAGTCACTTTTGTTCAACTTAAAAAGCAATTTTTGTCTGTTTTGAACCAGACCCGTGACATATAGAAGCCATTTTTCCAGCTGGATTAAAAAAAAATAAGGAGGTGGGAATGGGTTTTATGATTCCCACCATGGAAATAAATTGGTGTTTTGTTCATAACTGTTTGTTCTAGTTGTAATTGTTACACGATTTTAAAATATAAATAAATAAAAATATTACATTATTTAAAATGAGAAACAAATTGGTGTTTTCATTTGTTTTTAGGCACACAGGATACATCTGACCTTGTATCGCCCACCAAACGAAGTTCCCAGAAATATGTAATAGAGGGATTGACTGAGAAATCCTCTCAGATTACGGATCCTTGGGAAAGGGTGTTCAAGATATTATCGGTAGTAGGTGTCAGATGTGAATGGCAGATGGACATGGCAAGAAGGTTTGATATAATAAGTTTTTTAAAGGTCGTTTTTAGTTATCCAAGTTGATAAACTGGTATACTTGATTGTTTTAGTAACACGTCAAACAAGTGACAGTAACATGTCAAACAAGCGAAAACTGTTTCGAAAGGTGACTATTGGGAGATAATGGCTCCTGTTCGGTTGCATTGATAGGCAACAGCTAATGCACTTTGGGGATTCCAATGCTCTCAGTGTGAAAAATTTAATTAATCTGCTCAGTGTGTCTTGAATGAATTTATTTATTTACTGTATTTATATGAAAGTCCTGATCTAGATACATATAAAAATCAGGGTTTGCCAGACACTTAGAAGACTGCTGGGTGTCTTAGTCCCCCTTCCTATATTTGATTTATATATTTTAAATACTTCACTAATTTACTTTATTTTGAATGGCAAAGTCTTTGGAAAGTTTACATGCATTTTGTAATCCAACGGGTGGATAAAGAATAGAGGATAATTTCATATTTCCATGGTTGTGGTTTTTTCTCCACAAATTCCCCACATAGCTGATTGCTGTGTTCCCTAAATAAATATTTGCCTTTAAATTGCCTGAATTTGGCAATGGTTTTCTTTGGCAAGTAATACTCAGAGGTTGTTTGCTATTGCCTTGCTTTAAAAACTTGATTTTAAAAACTGATCAAAATTGTAGTACACAGCATCTGAAGGATTACATGTTGTTCACCCCTAATGGGTAGAAAAGGGAGGGAAAATGTAACACTAGAATTGTGCCCCATTGTGATTCGAACTGCCCTGACACTTTGTTAAGAGGATATTTGCTGAATTGCGCTGTGTATTTAAAATATTCAGACTATACGTGATTTGCTCTTGTCTCACAGAGCGAAGGCACGATATATTGTATAAATAAGTTAATAAACATCTGAAAGCTAATTGAATGGTTTACATTTTATCACAGAAAAAAATAAAATTCAAATATAACTCAAGTGGAAAAAAAAACTTGATTTCCGTTCGTGATCTCCCACCCGAGTTTTAAGCAAGATTGACCCTGCTTAGTTTTGAAGATCAGGTGATTAGCCGCAATAAATATACTTACAATTTAATCCTTTGCATATCTATTCAGAAATAAGCACCATTGCATTGAGTTGAATTTGTTTCCAGGGGCCCTTCCAGACAGACCCTATGTCCCAGGCTCTGATTCCAGGTTTTTTGCTTTAAACTGGATTATATGAGTCTGTACTGCCAGATAATCTGGGATGAGAAGGCCTGTGATCAGATCCTGGGATATAGAGTCTGTCAGGAAGGGCCCTTAGTTGACATGTATAACAGTTGTAGCCTTTAGATGGAATGGTCTGAATCACATTTAATGGATTTTACTTCCTTTCTTTTAATGGAAGAAAAAAGTATTATCTCCCTCACTTTTCCTCTCAAAAAGATCAATTGAAGGTTGAACAATATGGGAATGGACAGAGTGTTGGGTGATGGACAAAGATGTGTGGCCCAAATGTGGCAGAACTCCATTTAAGTGTTGATTACACTCTTGTCTTTCACTTAACGGTCTACAGTTTCCCATCCTTCCTTGTTTAGAAGAGCTCATTTATTTATTTACAATATTTGTATACCGCTTTTCTCACCCCGAGGGGGACTCAAAGCGGTTTATACATAAGTAATGGCAAAAATTCAATGCCAGTACAAACAATTACAATTATACACTACAATTATACATAAATTAAATTAAAAATACATCCATGAGCAATAAGACAATCATTAAAACAAAAACAAAAAAACAGTCTCTTCCGTCAAATTGCCATTCATAACCTTCTTTAGGATTATGAAAGTGACCCTCCTGGAGGAGAACATGAGAAACATACGCTCTGAATCCTAGAACAAATTAGAAACTCTATTAATGATATCCTTTTTACAACTTCAGGAGTTTTGGTGATACGTTGCTCAAAATGAAAGATGTCTGCAGATACATAAGCAACTATGATAATGAAGCCAATGCAAAATACAAAACTCAAGTTGTATATTCTACAATGCTGGTCTTTTTCAAAAACGCATTCCAGTATGTCAGCAGCATTCAACCTTCTCTATTCCAAGGTTTGTTCAAATGATGGATTTTTATTGAAGCTTGGTGTAGTAAGTTTTTGCTAGAGTTACTTAATGTTGTGTCTGCTTTAAAAGTGGTATTAGGCACTTTTAAAAATAAGAAATATGAATGGGTTGCATAAATTTGGTGTCATGTCAGATTTTGGTCTTTCTACTGTATCTTCCATATATGCACACCAAAGATTATGGCATAATCTTTGGACCATAGGTCAAAGCTGGAGTCACTCACATGAGTGCAGCAATCCTCTTTGAAATGCAGTGTCCTCAATATGTGCTTGCTTGGTTTTTGTTTGCTGCATTTTATGTTCGGGCCTCTTCTGAACTGTGTCTTTGGGAACCCTGGGGTTCATTGCAAGTTTATCAGGAGTTCTGCAATAGTAATATCAGTAATGATGGAAAAGGACCCCGTGTAGATGATCATTTGGTTCTTGTCTAGCACAACATCCAGAATAGTTATTAATGTTTTACGGTAATAGCATCTGTTCTTACTACAGTGTTTTTGTTATAAACACATTTAGGGCCAAATACTCCAAATCAAGTTCCACTGGTACTCCTAGAGGATGTGTCCAATGTGTATGGCGATACAGATATTGAGCGCAGCAAACATGTACACAAGAAGCGGAAACTTGCTGAAGGGAGAGAGAAAACAATGGTAATACTTCTCATTATAAGTGACCTGTGAGTTGATGTAGAATTAAAAATATTAGTCTGTTCATAGCTGTGTAGAAAAAATGTTTTCCCCCTAACACAGGTATCTTCAAACTTTTTAAACAGAGGGCCAGGTCACAGTCCCTCAAACTGTTGGAGGGCTGGATTATAATTTAAAAAAAACATGAATGAATTCGTATGCACTCTGCACATATCTTATTTGTAGTGCAAAAAACCACTTAAAATAATACAATAATTAAAATGAAGAACAATACCAACAAATATAAACTGCTTTTGGCTGATGAGATAGAATTGTTGTTGTGTGCTTTCAAGTTGTTTTAGACTTTGATTGACCCTGAGTGAGGGCCAGGTAAATTATCTTGAAGAACCATATCAGGCCCTCTCGCCTTAGTTTGAGGACCCCTGCCCTAATACATCTACAAGCATTGTGATAAATATCTAAACCGACATTTTACTGTGTCAATGACATCGGATTTGTATTATCTTAGTTTTTGCTAGAGTTTGGTTCCAGAACCAAATGGATGTACAAGTTCCATAATACACAATGTGTGGCAAATTGTGCCACAAAATCAGTGTTTGCTTTTGTGCGGGGGCGGGGGGGGGGTGTATTTTCCAAGCCATGGACGGTGAAATCTGTAGGTGTAGAATCCATGGATATTTTGTATTTCAGTTGGCTGAGAACTTTAAGTGTGATATTTTCAAGTGGAGATGTACACTTACAGTGTGGTGTTCATACACTCATTAAGTTCCAAGTCCTTATTTACCAGAATTAAATGTAAAAATAGTTTTCTCAAATACAATATTTAGGTATTGACCCAACTTGGGGAATGCTGTGGTTCAAAAGTCTAACAGAAAGTGTTGGTGCATAGAGGTTAAGTTTTGTGAACAACCATAGTATAGGTTGAATCTGGTGCCACCTATATGCAGATGACACCCACCTGTATTACTCATTTCCACCTAAAGCCAAGGAAGCTTAAACCAGTGTTTGTCATCAGTAATGAACTGGATGAGTACAAACAGATTGAAATTTAATCTGGATAAGACAGAGGTACTCCTGGTCAGTGGGGTCATACTCCCCCTGAAAACACAAGGTGGCAGTTTAGGGGTCCACCTGGACTTGATACTGAACCTGGAGTCCCAGGTGTTGGTGTCGCATGGGAAGGGCTTTGCACAGTTAAACTTCTGTGCCAGCTACACCCGTTCCTTGACAAGCCAGATCTGGCCATGGTGATACATGCCTTAGTTACATCCTGTCTGGATTACTTTAACATGCTCTGCGTGGGGCTGCCTCTGAAAAGTGCTTGAAAACTCCAGCTGGTCCAAAGAACTACAGCCAGACTGCTAACTGGAGCTGCTAAGGGAGTGGACAACCCCCATTACAGAAGCTCCACTGGCTGCTGATCTGTTTCCAGGAACAATTCAAAGTGCTGGTTATGACCTTTAAAGCCCTAGACGGTTCAGGTCCAGGCTATTTGGCTGACCGCATCCGCTTATATGAACCTGCCTGGGCCCTGAGGCCGTTCTCTTGGTCCCACCTTCATCTCAAGTTTGGTTGGTTGGAATGAGAGAGCGGGCCTTCTCGGTGGCTGCCCCTCGACTCTAGAACTCCCAGCCCAGGGAAGCCAGAATTGTTGTCCTTCCGGATGCAGGCCAAAACCTTTTTATTCAGACGGGCATTTAAAGATGGTTTTTAAGATGAAGTAAAGAGGTGCTGTGGTTTTTAACTTTGAATATGCTTTAATGGATTTTAACGGGGAATTTTTAAATACTGTTTATAATGTTTACATATTTCTATATTTTAAATTGTATGCTAATGCTTTTATGTCTCCTTCAGGAGAGATAAATCAGGGTATAAATAAACATAATCATAATAATGATGATGAAATAATATCCTTAATCCAAAATTCAAGGGACCTAAAAATTTTGGGATTTCGGATTTTTGGGGTTTTGGGATGCCTGTAGTTGTATATACATAGATAATTAGGTAATCTAAACATAAATTCATTTGTTTTTCACATATACCTTGTAGACATAACTGAAAGGTAATTTTATGTACAGTATTTTGAACAATTATGTGCATGAAAAAAAGTTTATGTTATCATCAGAAAACAAGGATGTTACTATCTAAGACACCCATACGTGCAATTGTGGATTTTGGAGTTCTTCAGATTTTGGAATTTCAGATAAGGAATGCTTACCTTGCATGTGGCTGTATGGAATGTGCACATCGCTTATGTGATGTGTACATTAGGACAGGTCACTAAATATAACATTCCTACGCCTTGCATACATGATCTGTAAGTATTAACTTTTTAAAATTAGACCGCAGATATTTGACTATGTTAAAGCAATTGAAAGTCCATAGTTTGCTTACCTGGATGCACAGTATTTTGGGGCCTAAAAAGAACTGCCCTCATTTTCAGTTCCCCTGCCTAATTTTTGAAGACAGTGCTTACATTCTACCAGTGGCCAGGTGAATAATTGTTTAAAAGCTAATGCAATGGCATTAAAAGTTGTTTGAGATTATTACTACATATTCGTGTTGACTTTTGAATAGAGCTCTGATGATGAGGATCCTTCTGGGAAGGGAAAAAGGCCTATTACGATAAATGCAGCAGATCTTGCAAATGCTATTGAAGTCCAAGAGAGCTTTAGGCTGGCTAGAGAGAGCTGGGAACTTCTTCATTCAATGGAATTGCTGGATAAAGGTAAGAATACTGACATACTCCTCTGCTGTGTTTGGAAATGAAAAATACACGGCATTCAGTTTACACGAAATTATTTTCTTTGTGTTAGATTCAGCCCTTGTACTACTGGCAGAGCATGATGCAACCACTATTTGAGTTTTCACTTGTGAGACACTTGCTAAAGACTTCAAAAGAGGAGCACTTGAATGGTTACTTAAAACAGTTTATTTTCATTCACCTTGCCTTTTTCCCCTCAAGGTCCTGCACTGGATTGGTCCTCAGGGTGATCCCTATATGGACCATGGGCTTTATTGTTGAGTTGTTTTACTGTGTACAGTATGATGAGACTCTTTTCAAAACACAGTTCTAAAAAGAATAAAAAAGTAGACATTTATTAATACACATTTAGACCGCATATTAATCCCTGAACTATTTAATCATTCACAGCTCCCCAAAACCTTATTCAGTTCTTACCCATTTGTTATGAATTTTTGAAACCTTAAAAATGTTGTTTGATATGTATAAACTTATTGAAATACAGTCCAGTCATAGGGTTGCTTTTGGGTTGACATAAGTCAAAGATGATTTGAAGGCACACAAGAACTTCTGACTCTTGGATACACATCTGTAACTGCAATACTGGATACCAACTAATATTCTATTTATGATGCATGGATTCATGGACATGTTTATCACATTTATACTTTACATTGTGAAATACACAGTTCAGCCTAGAACGTATGTATTGTTGATCTTAACGAAAGTAGACCCGTTGAATCAGTGGAATTTACTTATGTGTTGACTCACCATTCAGCAATGAATTTAGCAGTACTCAAGTCCTAAACTGTATATTTAGAAGACAAAATATATGCTCCTGACAGTTTCAGTTGACTTGATGTCATTCCATTTAGTTTAGTTTGTAAAGTAAAATTTGTCCCCTGACATTAAGTCCAGTCATGTCTGATTCTGGGGTGTGATGCTCATCTCCATTTCTAAGCCGAAGAGCCGGCGTCATCCATAGACAGCACCTCCAAGGTCATGTGGCCGGCATGACTGCATGGAGCGCAGTTACCTTCCCGCTGGAGCGGTACCTATTGATCTACTCACATTTGCATGTTTTCGAACTGCTAGGTTGGCAGAAGCTAGGGCTGACAGCGGAAGCTCACGCCACTCCCCGAAATCGAACCTGCGACCTTTTGGTCAACAAGCTCAGCAGCTCAGCGCTTTAACCCACTGCGCTACCGGGGACTCCCCATTTAGTTTAGGGACCCACAATTCAGGCAGTACTTTAAATAACAATTTAAATGTGACTTTGCACCTTATCCAACTATTGATTTTTAAAAATAAACAGTGGATGCTGATTGTGTTACTATTGTTTAGAAGTTATGATCGATTGCCCCTGAATGATCTGGTTTGGATTATATATTAACTGGTTCATGGGTCAGTTAATTTTCTGATGGAAGAAAAAATACATACTTTTCATGCTCAAAAAAGAAATTTGATCCATTTTTAATGGGATGGAGTGCATCAGGAACTTTCAGAAAAAGAACTAGACCAGGGGTCCTCAAACTTTTTAAACAGAGGGCCAGGTGACAGTCCCTCAAAATGTTGGAGGGCCGGATTATAATTTGAAAAAAAACATGAATGAATTCCTATGCACACTGCACATATCTTATTTGTCGTGCAAAAAACACTTAAGAACAATACAATAATTAAAATGAAGAACAGTTTTAAGAAATATAAACTTATTAGTATTTCAGTGGGAAGTGTGGGCCTCCTATTGGCTGATGCAATAGGGTTGTTGTTGTTGTTGTTGTTGTGTGCTTTCAAGTTGTTTTGGTTGACCCTGAGTGAGGGCTGAGTAAATTACCTTGGAGGGCCGTATCAGGCCCCCGGGCCTTAGTTTGAGGACCCCTGAACTAAACAAACAGACATCTGTGCTGGTTTTTATAATAGCTATATTGGTTACTCACTCAGAGGAGGAACACCACATTCATTTAAACATTCACTCTCAGTCCATACATTCAACATACATACTCACCATCCCTCCTCCATTCAGGCCTGCTGCAGGGGGAAAAAGACGTGGGTGGACAGACACTGAAGATCTGGCACACACTCAATAAGGAAGAGAATTTTCTTTATGTAGAGATTTTGTCAGTCATTTGATTATTTTGATGGTCATTGTCCATTCTCCTTGACCTGGTGGAGCTTCATAAATAACAGAACTAATGGGTTGTTTCAACTTGCTTCATATAAAAAGTTGTTGTCTTTGACCATGTAAGCCTATCAGCTTGCATCCAAGGTTCTCAGCTCAGTTCATTGGTTCAGGATTTCCCCCCAAAGTTTATGAACTGTGTAATTCCTCGTCTCCATTGATCTCCCATAATGCAATTCCTGGGTTCCATGTTTAGGATGGTGGCTTCAGTCTTGCTTGGCCTTAGTAGGCCTCAGCCAGACCCATACATACAATGAATTCCTTTAATTTTTTACACATTTGTCTGTCCCATTATTGTTATCTCTGTGCCATCTTTTCCCTATTTGCTTTCTGTCAGGGACAGACCTCGCCTTTGTATTCTTTCTTCCCCATAGACTCACTTTTACACCCTTCACTGAACTGTGCTTGACTGGTACCAACCAGGCTTGGACAGCTGTTCTTACACACAAATACTTGTCACATGTTTTTTAAATTTTCCCTGATAGAAAATGGCTGTTTCCATCTTTGAACTGACCAACATCATCCAAATATGAATATTTTTTTTATCCCTAGCCCAAGATTAATTTTTGTACTATCTTCTCCTGAGGGCTGTCCACAAGAGAGCCTTGATATTTCCCTCTGCTTCTTACCAACCTTATTGATAGAGCACATGTTTTACACATAGAAGGTCCCAGGTTCAATCCTTGCCAACTGAGACAATGCTTTGAAGAAATGCTGCCTGAAAACTTGAAAAAACCATGAGCGTTCAGTGCCAACAGTACAGTATTCCATCAAGGTGGGAATGGTGTGGCTCTCTGATTTTCATAGACCCCCCTCACAAGTCAATAACTTCCTGATGCTTTAAAAAAATAGGTCATTTTTGTCCAGCAAATCATTTTGTACTTGGCCTCCCTCCCTGCCTCTCTGGAAGTGATTACTCATTTCAATTTTCAGCTAGAAATGGTGTAAAAATAGCACGGTTTGGCTCAGCATTGGGAGTAAAACTTGTTCTCCTCACCTTTCCCCTGTTTGGCTAGATGGAGCATGCTCTGGCAGTTAAAAACAAATTTCTTATATTCGTTTTTTGCAGAATTTACAAGAATTTGCGTTTCATGGAAGACAGATACATGGCTTTGGTTGCGGATCTTTCTCACAGATATGATTATTTATCAGGTAAAATATGCAGGAACTTTGTGCTTCTGCCACCTTAATGTAAAATTAATGGATCATCTGTTTTCCATCAACTTTGTACCTCCCAGCTGGCAGAGACTGATGGAAGTTGTTGCCCATAAGATCTTGGAAAGTATTTTGTTGAAGGAAGGCATTGCATAGCAAGTGCATAGCAAGTGCTTGATCTGATATAATAAAAAACAATCCCCTGTAAATACTCTGAGAAGCACTTTAATTACCTGTTGGGTTGCTCTTTACTTTTGATTTAAAACCCTCCTAATAAATACATCCTCTGTTCATGTCCAGCATTTATTTTTAAAGTTTTAACTATTACATCTGGCCCAGCCATACGTTTTTAAATTCTTGTGTGTTGTTGTCTACTTGTGAGTTATATTAATTGTATTGTTTATTTTGTTTATTGCTTGTTGTTTTATTATTGCTTATTGTTTTTGATGTGTTGTTGGGTTTGGCCTCATGTAAGCTGCTCCGAGTCCCTTGGGGAGATGGTGGCGGAGTATAAATAAAGATTATTATTATTATTATTATTATTATTATTATTATTATTATTATGTTTCTTTTAAATGAGTGAAACATGAGGCCATACTAAGATTAGCCTTTTGTTTTTGTGCTTGAACACACATACTTTGGTTTTAGAATTGAACCCAAGCAATGTTCTTCCCTTTCTTTAGCAGTGTCGCCATCAGCAACTGATTGGTTGCAAGAATTGGTGGGCAGTTTTCTTGGAGTGCTTTGAACCTTCATGAAAGCTAAAAAGATGCTTAAGACATCATTAGTCCAGATCTCAATCCTGTATCAAGTTCACTGGATCTAAGCAGTCTGCTTTCTGTCACGTTTTCCACCTCATTCAGTATAATGGGGTGTGTGTGTATCCCCACATTAAAAGAGTGTTGAAGGGTTAAAGAGAGAGGGGGGATTTGTAATTTTTAATATTAGCAGAAATTATATAAAAACATATTTCTCTTTGTTTCCATGGTTTTAAAATAATCTGAACTGCCAGCAGATTGGAGAGCTACTGTAATTTGATGTTCTTTTTTTTTTGAAAGGGTCAGTATAAAAAAGCCATTGTCAGCTTACACCACTTAGCAGCTTTGCAAGGATCACAGCCTCAGCAACAGATCATGGGGCAAGGGTCACTAGAGAACCAGCGAGCCCTGATCCAGTTAGCAACCTGTCACTTTGCGCTTGGAGAATACCGTGTAAGTCGCTAAAGTCTTCTTTATCTAGCTAAATCATTTCATTTTTGTTGTTCTTGTTGTTGGTACTTTCATTAAAATCTGTAGGGCTTGGTATAACTTGCAGATATATGTACTGTGGGTTCCAACTCAAGATTCTTAAGTTACATCGATTATCCTGCGTGTGTCAAATTCCTGGTTTGCAGGGCAAATCTGGCCCAGCCATTTCATTTTATGTGGCCAGGCAGATTTATTTATTTATCCATTTACGACATTTATATGCCGCCCTTCGCATCCCCAAGGGGATTCAGAGTGGCTTACAAGATATACATACTTATACATGTGTGTGTGTGTGTGTTTACAAGATTGTTTACTGCATCAGAGATGAAAACACAAACCAATGGATTAAAATGACAAGAAAAATACACCTAAACATTAGGAAGAGCTGATCAACAGTGAAATTGACTGCCTAAGAGGGTGGTTGGGCATCTTTAAGGGATGCTTTAGTAGAGTATTTCTGTATGGCAGGGAGTTGTACTATAACACTGCTTTTAAACCATGGCTTCTGATCCCAAATGCAGTTTCCATAGTTCAATGATGGGATTGTGAAAAATTTGGCAACTGTAAGTTTCTGAACGCAACATGCAGTGTTTACAGTGGACTCTGCAGAAAATGCTTCAACTGTACTCCTTTTAAAAAATCAGTCTGTTTGGCAAACCTTGCAAATGCTGATTTATATCAGTAAATGTTTAATTTTATACCTATTTTATATGCATATATACATATATACTCAGAGTCACATAAAAATTGGGGCAGAAAAGGATTATGAAAGAATTCCTCAGGCAGTAAAGGGTCATAAGTGGAAAAATGTTTAAGAAGCCCTGTGTATAATCATAGAATCTTAGACTCAGAGTTGGAAGAGATCAGGTGGAGTATCTAGTCCAGCCCACTAGAGATTGAGATTGTCTGGGGAGGCAATGGAGGACCTCCTTGCGATCCCACCTTTATATATATAGGGGGGGGGGGGTAGAGGTGAATATTTATTTATTTATTTATTTGTGTGAATACACACACACACATATATTCACCTAAATAAATAAATAAATATGCATACAGCATATTATGTTATTAGCATAGTACAGTATCAGTATTAAATATTACTATATTGTACTATACCATTATATTGTAATATTGTTAGTAATATTACGTGTAATATAAATATATTATTATAATATATTATTATTAATAGTAGTATTATATTGCATTACATTATAATCCACGACATGCGAGTGTGGAGAAGAGCAAACCACTGACCACCTGCTGCAATGCAACCTGAGCCCTGCCACATGCACAATGGAGGAACTCCTTGCAGCAACACCAGAGGCACTCCAAGTGGCCAGATACTGGTCAAAGGACATTTAATCAGCTACCAAGTTTGCAAAATTTGTTGTTTTTTTATCTGTTTGTAATACAACTGTCTGGTTGCTCCTGACACAATAAATAAATAAATTATAATATTATAAATATTATATGTATATACAATATATTATATTACATTATATTATTAGCATAGCACAGGAGAAAAGGTGGAACTTGTATTCCTGTATTCTTTAGCATTACAATTCCTGTATTCTTCATCATTTGACATCATGACTAGAGCTGATGGGAGTTGGGATACAGTGACTTCTGGAAGGCTGCAGTGTGTTTTATTTAGTCAGGAGTAGGGAGTTTGAATTGAGAAACAGGGCTTGTGGACAGGATGCCCCATTTTATTCTTTCCCGAACTTCAGAACCACAAGTGCTATTGGGTAGCAATTCCCATTATCCCCAGTCTGCATGGCAGATAATCAAAAGATGGGAGTTGTCTTTCAGTAACATCTATGGTAAAAAACCAAAGAGCATCAACTATTATGTTAAAAAAAGATAGCTGGCATTCTGTATACACAGATTATTCGTCCATGGATTCAACTGTCCTTTAGAGGCAACCCTAAGACTGATATGACCCTCAGTGAAAATGATTTTGTCATCCTTGCATTATATTATAAGCTTTAACTCCTAGTTAATCAAATCAGTATGACTGAACTGCATGCTGTCCATTCCCTCTCCCTTTGCAACAGGGTTAAATAGTCCAGAATGCAATAGCTTAGTGATGTCTGAATTTGGGATTGTGTTTGACTGTGTTTAAAAACTCAAAATTGCTATCCAACTTTGAACTAAGGTTTGTTGGCTTCTGATTCCAAGCTTGTAGAGGCATAGGAAGTCTTGAGTTCCTGTATAGCACATAGAAACCCCAAATTTGGGTGGCTGATCTGCTGTACAAGTTTACAAATAACCAAAACTATAAGTGTGAAACCCATGAATGTGGAGGGCTAACTGTAATCGGTAACTGGCTATCTGGCTTTTTTAAATCATCGCTAGCTTCTGTGGATTCACTTATAAAACTATTGATCTTACTTTGTTCTTGTAGTTAACCTGTGAAAAGGTACTTGATCTAATGTGCTACGCAGTGCTTCCCATACTAGAGGTACCTAAACCTCAGGAAGAACAGCCAACAGTGAAGTCAAAACACAGGAAAGGTAAGGGATGACTTTCTTTGTCAGTAGATGATAAGATAGGAGGGAAATATAGGTTGCTTACCTGTAACAATAGTTTCCTGAGTGGTCACCTGTGAATTTGCTCATAAGGTAATTTCTGCGCCTGAGCAGACAGCTTCGGAACCTTCCAGATAGATTTGAAAACTTTTCTGGTGGTTAGCCCCGCCCACTCTTCCCTTGTAAGTATAAGTAGCCTGTGGACGGGGCCACTGCCTCAGTTCTTCTGCCGCAAAAACACCAAGAAAAACCGAGGCATGACAATAGTGGGGAGGATGGGCGGGCTGTACTCCCCCACACTCAGGCTAAGTAATCTTCGGTTGTCCCTGATACTTCAAGGGATAAAGACTTGCCTATAATGGTGGCAGAGGCAGTGGAAAAAGAAGTCTAAAAAGTCAAGGCCTCAGGAGTGCCCTGGTGGTGGCAACACCATTCTTGTACCGTCCAAAAAGGTGGGAATTTCAGCTGCTTCCTACCAGCCTATGATAGCTCCTCCTTTGGGGCAGGCATTTGGCTCCCCAAGGCCTAGAATGCCTGATATGCAGCCTCTTTGTCAGTAGATGATAAGATAGAGGGAATAAAGCTTCCAATGTATTAGTAGTAGCCAGCCAGTCTGCTTTTATATTATTGTATTTCTTCCATTCTAAGACACGCTTTTCCACCTATATAAACATCTCTAAAAATTGAGTGTGTCATAGGTTAAATTTATGCATTTTTTGTTGGTTGTACTGAAATTGGGGTGCGTTTTTGTTGAGATTAACTTCACAATTCAGCAGCAGATCAGTTGCACAACTTCAGCGCTTTCCAGTAGCTTCTTCCTGCACAGTATTTTCAGTCAACTGCTCCCACAGCCTGCAGTCACTCTGGAACCTTTTACAGACACTTGAGCACATGCCCGGCCATTGTCAGTTTTACTATTGTTTTCCCCCAGTCTAGATGACACTACAAACTTACCACAGCACACAGTTATATCTTGTCTTAGCAGACAGGTTCTTTTAATTACATATAGCCTTCGACGAACAACATCACAGCACAAGGAGAGATATACACTGTACATGACTTCCTTACATACAATTCTATACAATTACACATAGCAATCTCTGATTGGTTCCCAACTCACTGACTCAACCCAAACCCAGGATTGCATCATTCACAATCACCTGGACTAGGCAGGAGCCCCCGGTGGCCCAGTGGGTTAAACCTCTGTGCCGGCAGGACTGAAGATCTACAGGTCGCAGGTTCGAATCTGGGGAGAGGCGGATGAGCTCCCTGTATCAGCTCCAGCTCCTCATGCGGGGACATGAGAGAAGCCTCCCACAAGGATGATAAAAACATCAAATCATCCGGGCATCCCCTGGGCAACGTCCTTGCAGACGGCCAATTCTCTCACACCAGAAGCAACTTGCAGTTTCTCAAGTCGCCCCTGACACGACAAAAAAAAAAAAACTGGACTAGGTCAGAACACATTCCCCAAATGATTCCTTATATACAGTTAATGCATGACTCAGCATTTCCAATAGAAGCCCATTAGCAGTGCATGACTCAGCTATAATACATTGCAATACATTGTAAAACCTGATAGTTTTACATTTGATAATTGAAGAAATAAGGTAATTAAACTAAAATGAAAGGGTATCCCTTTTCAATATTTTATGTGTGCCTGGGTCCAATCGAGCATTTGTGATTATTATCAGTAATTTTTTAAAAAGCTGCTCCTATCAAACCATAGCCAGAATATTTCCAGAAAAAGTCAGCAATAAGTGTTTTCTGTTAGGCAAGCCCCAACTCTGGCAGTCTTTAGGAGAAGCCTGAAAATGTGGTTGTTTCAGTGTGCCTTCCCTGATTAAGGAAACTCCCAGCAATATGTCCTTAAACACACTTTATTAATGATTTAAGATTGTCTGCACACTTCTTCCCTCTCCAAAATTTCTATTCCAGTTACATGTCACCTTGTCATGCCCAGCATTATTTTTAAAAAAAATTAACTATTACATTTGGCCCATCCATAGGTGTTTAAACGTGTCATGTTATTGTTAATGTTTTGCTTATGAGTTTTTATTGTTTTGTATTATTGTTCTTATTGTTTATTGTTGTATTGTGGGCTCGGCCTCATGTAAGCCTCACCGAGTCCCTTGGGGAGATGGTAGCGGGGTACAAATATAGTATTATTATTAGTAGTAGTAGTAGTAGTAGTAGTAGTAGTAGTAGTATCCTTTTAAAAAGTAGCATTTTCTCTCCCCACATCCACCTAACCCAAATAACACTGAGAAATCTAAATTCTACATGTGGTTAAATAACAATGATTTGGCTTTCTGATTTTTGTTCTTATGCCTGTCATAAAGAGGAGGCTGGGAGGAGAGGGGTATCAATAATCCAACTATTTTAGGAGATATTTTTGATTTCTGCTTTTTCAAAGAATGTTGGGATGTCCAGCACCCTATATAGAATCCTAGATATGGTGATCAAATATTGTCTGTAGAAAGAATTGAGTGGCAGTAGCAGTTTAGCTTCTAGCCGATTAATTGTTAAACTGCCCATTTCTGAATCTGGCTCGGTGAGTCGATGTTTCAAGGGAGGGAACAGACATATTTGTCCTCCTGCTGAAGCAGCCAGCAACTTGTGTGAACCTGTGTGGAAGGAAGGGATTCCACCCTAATCCTGTGCACATTCTAACCTGCCATTAGGGCAACTGTTTACAGGAAATAAATGCTTGGCTGGATTAGTTTCACCTCCTGCTTTGGTACTTACTCCCGAAAACAGTCCTCCTTTCCCAAAATAGTCAATTCTCATGGTTCTCCCCCACTCCCTCCTAACATTGCTTGAATGAAGGTGATCCTGCTTGCTAACTTTCCCCTATTTCTCAACCTGAAAGGAGAACAGTGGGATGAGTCAGACTAGAATGCAGGAATGAACATTGCAACCTGCCCCTTGCTGGATCAGGAAGCAAAGTTTCAGGTGGACATATAGTCCTTGCCAACATCCGTGCCTCCTCTTCCTGGGACCTGATTTTCCATTTTTCCAATTATTTTTTTTGTCGTGTCAGGAGTGACTTGAGAAACTGCAAGTCGCTTTTGGTGTGAGAGAATTGGCCATCTGCAAGGACGTTGCCCAGAGGATGCCCGGATGTTTTGATGTTTTTATCATCCTTGTGGGAGGCTTCTCTCGTGTCCCTCCAAAATTATTGTCCTGAATAGAGAAGGAAATGTGCTGTGATTTCAATTTTATTTATTTAGAGCATTTATACCCTGTCCTTCTCACCCCCAGAGGGGGACTCAAGGCGGCTTAACAACAGGCAACCATTAGATGCCAACAATATACAGTTAAAATATTACAATTAAAACAGCAATCCAACAATTATGTACATACAATTTAAAAACAATCAATCAGTTCAAAATCATGGTCCAGGTCAGTCCATTGCCAGTTGCTATATCTACTGCTCAAATGCTTGATGCAACAGCTAGGTTTTGGGTTTTTTATCCCCTCCCTCCCAGAAGGGAGGGGGAAGATCTAATTTCATTGGGGAGGGCGTTCCACAGCCAAGGGGCCACTACAGAGAAGGCCCTGTCTCTCGTCCCCACCAGTCACGCCTCCAAAGAAGAGTGGTCTTTATTTCTAAGGGCCTTGTAAAATGCAGAAAACTATTAAAATGCTCAAGCTATAAAAGTTTTAGGCTTGTCGTTTTTAATTCTGGTCAATACTGGATTTTTTAACATGTGCAAATCTATTATTTGTCTTTAGCTTCGGAACTGAAACTCTGGCCTTGTACCAGTAAGGCTATTATGCCCTACTGTCTACGGTTACTATTAGCTTGTTTTAAGGTAAGATATCCTTCCACCACAGTGGACGAAAACATCTTGTTGGCTCTGCAGTATTAATAGTTGTGACTTTGAGATAAATTTTCCTGTCTTCATTGTCCGCACCCTGGACTCGTTTTCTTTGTTTTGTACATTACTGGAGTGCTTCAGTGATGTCAGTTGGCCCTTTTGCCAGTGTCCCATTTGAAAATTCAGGTAGAAAAGTGATACCAAAAAGACCAGGAGCTTGACCAGTATCGGATGAAATCTATGTTTTCTATGTATCAAGAGAAAGTTCATTTTATTTTGATAGCTTGGATTGGGCTTTTCTTGGTTGGGGATCAGAATGAAATAATTTCATGGCAATCTTTGTCTATGGATGAGAATAAAGTAAACGTATTCTTTACTCATTTAGTTTCATTTACTAATTACCTGTATAATGTCTTAATGTAAATATAAGGGGAAAATGTTTAGCTCTGCCCCAGATCCTTGATCTAAGAGAGAATTTTTATTGCTGAGGCACTGCATTGATGCATAGCATTAGTAATAACAAAACCAGAGGTGAGAAACCTTAAGCTTTCCAGATGTCTTGGGCTACAGCCCACATACTTACTTGTTATGGATAATCCTATCTGGAGTTTCGATAATTCAGGTCCAAAATTTCTGGAGGGCCAAGCTTCCCTATCTCTTCTTATTTTATCTCAACTTTTATCACTATTGTTCAAACATTCTGACAACACAAGTTGCCCTTTATTTGTTTAAAGCTGCTAAAAGGTGATCAGAATTCATCGATCAGATTGTGTGCAGTGTAGGGGAGATGAGGATAGTTGATGCATATATCTATGGCT